GTGCTGGTTGGTCCGACAAGCAGAATTCAACAACGTGTGGGACTTCAGCAGCTGTGCTGCAAACAGAGGTGGACTTAAGCAGAGCTACTGATACTTGCACTAAACACACAGTAGAAGTAAAAGTGAAAAGTACAGGCTGTGAAATGTCTTTAAAGTAAGAAAGTAAAAAGTAGCTCCTTGAAGGACAATTGTGCCATCTAATATAATGTAATATAAAAATTATATTAGTTGTTGAAATTTCCCAATTCTTTGAATCTTTGGGCTGAAGGAAGGACAATACTCGGTGTATAAATGCTCAATCAACAATCATTTATTTCCATACAATTCAACACAAAGAGCATTTAGAACCATCATGATGGGGAGACATGCCTGAAGAGGATCACAGCAGTCTCAAAATGGTGACAGGTTACTCAGCTTCTTATAGTCTCTAGTGGCCCCCACCTAGTCGTAAAAGCCAAAACATTACATTCTTTCTCTCTTACGGCGCCTAAGTTATGACCTCGGCTCCCTGTCTTTCTGCTCTTCTGAAAGGTGGGGTGGTCTGTTTCTTCTATTATCTGCACAAGGTCCTCTGCACACAACATTCTCTTCATGATTCAGCAGTATGAAATGTCAAGAAACAGTGTAACACATTCAACAGTGTCGAGTAATACAGGTCAATCCAATAGATCTAATGATTTTCACACTCTTTTAAGTCAGAAGTATAATGCAAACTAAGACTACATACTGATCACACACTCTATGTTAAAGGGTATAATATGATCTACAGCAGTATCATACTTCAACTACTTTGATTACATATATAAGGTAACATATGATAACAGAATAATATCACATAGTACACAGGAATACAAATGTTGTTTAAATCTTAATTTAATTTAATTTCTAACACTGGACTAATACGAGCATTTTTAGTTATTTTCCAGTGTTAGAAAATCAACACTGCTGAGTGTTAGTCATTGTTAATCTTTAAAACTGACTAGATTACTGTTAACAATGTAACACTGTCAAAAGTGTTCATTAAAAACTGTTTACTACATACTCAAGTAAAGTACAGATACCTGAATGGTCTACTTAAGTACTGTAACAAAATATTTTTACTTCATTACTTCCCACCTCTCGCTGTAAAGCAAGTAAATCTGGTGATGATTTGTTGGCTACAACACTTCAGCCATTCTAAATCTTTCTGAAAGTGACGAGGGCACAGGTGACGTGAGAGGAGGTGGAGAAGGAAAGTTAATGCTGCCACCTCTGACACACTGAGCCACAGATTCACACACTTCTCACACTCAGTCACACATCCATTAATTTTCTCATGTAGGCTGAAACAACAAACAAATTCATCACTCATAACAAAGTTATTGAGAACATCAGGGGGGCAGAGAGAAATAATTACAGCTCTGCGATGGTGTAAACATAAAATCACACAGCTGCTCAGAGCCGACCTCATGATGCCCAGTCAAAGATCTGAGGTTATTATGTCCGTGCGATATCAAACTGTAATCTAGTAAAAGAAATACACTGTATATGTATGCAGTGCATATTACTGTTGTAACATTAACAATAGGTGAATTCATCATTCCATACACAATAATGTGAGGACTGTGCCGCTAATGTTATTTCATAAATATGAACCCATCTCTTGAGTGCATTTTCTGTAATTTCTCTGGTTACAATTAGTTGCTCTTGTGCCACAATAAGAGGAAAATGATAGAGGTTCATGTATTATGTTGTGTCTCATGTTCAATGAAATCTAGTTTACATTTGAAAATGCTACACAGAATAGTTTGTAGGAAAGAGTAAGTCAGTGTCGATGAATACAGTGAAATCCCAAAAATGGTGTAAAAGAAAAGTAATTATTAAAATACTCAAAAAACAAAGTACTGCAAAAATGAAAACAGAAATTAAAAAAATAATAAATAACTTATTTTTATAAAAAGGTGCTGTTAACACTTTAAAACCAAAAAAATTCAGACATCCAAGCAACGTCCCTGATATATGGTATGTACATTTATATATGAATTCCTCACTTGCCCTTTTGGTGGTCTTTATCCTTCAAGCTCGGGTCCTCAACCAGAGGCCTGGGAGTTAAAAGATCCTACACAGTATTTCAGCTGTTCCTAGGCCTGCTATTACCAGTTTTCTTTTACCTTGAATAGTGGTTCTGATGCTCACAGTCCTCAGCCTCCTTCCTTCTGCTTAGCTTACAGTCTCAGGATGCTGGATTTGGGGTGAAACCCTCCATGCAAAGTAAGGAGCTTTCTTGTCTTGATGTCAGCGGCTTCTGTCTGCTCCCAGATATTTGACAATCTTCACATCATAGGTGTTAATCAACTTAATCAACCTGTTCGTCCCTTTCAGCTGACTCCTCTGGACTTGCCTTACTCTCATCTGGAGGCGCACCTGCAGGTAGTTGACAAGGAGCAGAGGACTGTAGTTGCGATAGATATGGCGCTTCCAGTAGGCAGCTGGAAGATGTGGTCCCAGTGGTAATGGGAGCATTAAGAGCGGTAACCAAATTGGAAGAGTGGCTCCAGCAGATTCCAGTTTGAACATCAGGTCCCTATCCAGAAGAATGCAATCCTAGGAACAGCCAAGATACTGACAGGACCCTCAGGCTCTGTTAGAGCTCTAGTATCACACACAGACTACTCCCCACTGGGTGAAAATAAGATATATATAAATATAATAATAAAATAATTTTGTTTATCAAATGACCATAGATAAACAGAAAGTACATAACAGAGTCAGGATCTTAACAGTGGCACTGGGATGTAGGGATTTCCCAGTATTGTAAACCTTTATATGTTGTGTTGCACATCTATTCCTGGGTTTAAGGTTTATGCTTATTTCACATTAAGGTTTTTAATGAAGGCGAAACCATCAGTTGTTTCACGGTGTGGTGGCATGCAGAGAGGATAGGTTGACACCTTATCTTCCCCTTCTGTTTGTGTGTGCATGTTAAATGCTTTGCTTTGTGCTCGGGTTGTTTAAACTGATTACTGAACTATGCAATTAAATGAAATGAAATTTTCGCTCTTCATGTACAATGACTAAAGCACCGAGTGGAGGGACTATTTGACCTGTCCACTGGGGGCGCTGTCTGCCCTTGTAATATCTATGTTGTCTGAGCAATGACGTATGATTTCTAGTGTTAACGATGGATTCAGAAATAACTGATTGGTGGAGAAATGCATACTGACTGTTTTGTTGGCTGTGTCTGCTGCAAACGCTGCTACTGAACTGCTTAATTTCCACAAAGGAAGTTTGAATGAAATAAATGTGACAATGAAAACAGAAACTAAGAATGATGAAGCTGCGGTTGCAACATGAGGCTTTAGAAAAAGAAAGTGGAAGGTTGTAAAAGGAGCTTAAATGCAAATGAATGCAATCAAATATCTGATACCTGCAATGCTTATGCAACAAAGTGAAAAAAGTCAGTAGTTGAAAACTGTCAGCTGTCTGATACTGCCTTAATGATTTTGCTGTGCAGATTCAGTCTCTGCTTTAGCGGCTCTGGAGTGTATTGTTTACATATTCACCCAGCAAGTGAAAGATCCCCCGACACACTTTTAAATGGAAAGCTTAAATGAAAATTAATTTGATAAAAGTCAACTAACAGAATAAGTAATAATATTATGGTGAATGATGAAACGTTTCTCCATCCAGATGAACAGAATCAACCTTTTGGGAATATTATGAATCGTTTGTGGCCTTTAGTTTTGTGCAGATGTTCTGCTCTGTGTAGAAACTTACTAAATAGCTATATTAGCTCGTGATGTTAGATGTGTTATCACTGTAATTTTCATAATGCTACAG